TTATTATATTTATTGATTTATCGTGTGTGCGTGCATGTGTGTGTGTGTGTGTGTGTGTGTGTGTGTGTGTGTAGACAATTTTCAGGAGTTCTTTCCTTCCACCATGTGGGTCCTAGGGACTGAACTCAGACCATTGTGCTTGACAGGAAGTCTTTACCCACTGACCCATCACACCAGCCCAGAACAAAGAATTATTTGTTGTTAAATTCTGCAGGGAATTTTTTGCATATTAACTCCTGGTGGCCTAGAGGGAGAACTCTGGGCTGTAGTGGTATACTGGAGACTTGCTTATTTGGCTTCTGAGAGTTAATTGCTCTATTTTAAGAAATATGAGCTAGTCATTACATAGTCATTATTAAAAATTAAATTTCACAGCCAAGCAATTTCACAGCCAGGCATGGTGGTATATGCCTTTAATCTCAGCACTTGGGAGGTAGAGTTCAAGTCCAGCCTGGCCTATTACATAGCAAGTTCAGGCCAGCTGGGGCTACAGAGAGACCCTGTCTCAAAAAGGTCCAAAAATAAATAAATAAATAAAATTTTACAAACCTATAATTAAATTATATTAAAAGCAGATAATGCTGAAAATTAATTACTTCTTAAAGTTTGTGACACATTTTTCTAGTATTTATGCTCATGAGCTTGTAATCACTGTATCTTCTTGAGAGCAATATTATATAATGATATGCTGTGTGCATCTCTTGTGAAGTCCTTGTTAACAGACTGAAATCAGTCATGATGGAACAATTTGTACCATGAAAATCAGGAAACGTGGGGCTGGAGAGATGGCTCAGCAGGTTATGAGTTTGGTTCCTAGAACCCGTATGGTAGCTAGCAACTGTCCTTAACTCCAGTTCAGAGGGGATTGGACGCCCTCTTCTGGCCTCCATGGTCATGGCGTACATGGGTGCACTTACATGTAGCAAAACACTCATACACATGAAAACAAAAATAAATTAGCTGGGCTTGGTGACACGTTCCTTTAATCTCAGCACTTGGGAGGCAGAGGCAGGTTAGGCCTCTGTGAGATTGACAAGGTCAGCCTGGTCTACATAGAGAGTTCCAGGCCAGATAGAACTTGTCTTAAAACAAAAAAATAAATAAAATTAATTAATTAAAAAATAAAAACAAACACAACGAATCTCGCCCTGGCTACAGCAAGATAGCTGTTAAACATTCACTAGAACACAACTATTTCAGAGACATGATGATTGTGTGGCTGTTTTCTCACTGTCACAGAAGTCTAAGACAAGAGGGTTATAGGTTTGATACCAACCTTGGGATGCAGAACAAATTGAAGTCCAGCCTTGGCTACCTAGTGAGACCCTGTCTCAAAAAACAATAAAACGGGCTGGAGAAGGGCTCAGTGGTTAAGAGTACTGACTGATCTTGCAGAGGACCCAGGTTTGATTCCCAGTACCCACATGGCCGCTACGAACTGTCCTTAATTCCGGTTCCAATGCCCTCTTCCAACCTCCGAGGCATTGCATGACACGGGTGCACTTGCATACATGCAGGCAATACACTCATACACATAAAAATATTAAATAAAATGTAAAACAAAAACATAGCAATATAAATCCTTCCAAAAAACAAAAACCAATAACAGGGTTAGAGGTGTAGCTCAGTGCTAGAACCTGTGCTTAGCATGCATAACAAGGTCCGGGTTCAATCCCCAGCACCAAGGAGGGGGGAAAAGAACACTAAAGAGTTAATGGAGAACTGATATACAGGATGGCCAGAAATGATTTGTCCCTGGCTATTCTCCCCTTTCAAGGGCCCAAGTGTCTGCAGTGAAGGGCCTTCATCAGTCTAGCACAAGGGTCTCATGTACACAGACCCAAAGTACTCTAAGAAAGCCATTGGTTGTGCCCCAGGTGCCCTTTAAAGATCCACTGGGCGTCCACTGCAGGATTCAATATGAATAAGATGATCTATGCTCACGCCAGGGAAGATGATGTTTCCTTGTTTCCAGTCTACAATCACTCTGGAATTAGCAAATTCTGTAAAATCTTAAAATGGAATTACAGCATGTAAGAGCGCTCTGAATCTCTTATTCCCCACATCTTCATGTGACAAATGAAGAAAGTGAGTCCACATGGTGGTGAGTAGTTTACCAAAACCCAACTACGAAATAGTAGCCAAAGTTAGGAGATGGGCTAATGCCTGGAGTGGAGGCTTTTCTTTACCATCTTTGGTTCCATTTAAGAAACTATATCATTACTGAATCTGAGCAGGAGCAAGCACGAAGTTCACATAAACACACACCAAGAAGTCCTCAGTTCTTTCTCTGCTTCTTAGAAAATAGAATATTTTTATTAAGAACCAACTAAAAATCACCTCTACAGAGCACACAGTAGACTACACATAATCAGCTGGGCCTGGTGGCCCAAGCCTGCAATCCTAGCACTCCACAAGCTAAGGCAAGAGAATCATGAGTACGAGGCCAGCTTGTACCCCATAGTTCCAGGTCAGTCCAGTCTATCAAGACCCTGTCTCTGAAAATCAAGCCACACCGACAAAAAGAATAAGACCTAATCCCTAGTACACAGGAGGTTAGTGTGGAATCAAACCTTTGATCCCAGCATTCAGGTGGCAAAGGCAGGTGAAGCTCTGTGAGGTGGAGGTCAGACTAGTATACATAGTGAGACCCTGTCTTAACAAAAAAAAAAACTCTAAAACTTTTTCAAGGGCATGGGAGGAACTACCTTAACTACCTTAAGACTGTTGATAACCCTGTTCTAAACCCAGGGAGTAGCTCAAAAATCAACCCTGATAGCCAGGCATGGTGGTGCACACCTCTAATCCCAGCACTAGGGAGGCAGAGGCAGTTGGATCTCTGTGAGATCTAGGCTGGCCTGGTTGATCTACAGGGTAAGTTCCAGTCCAGCTGGAGCTACTCAGAGACTCTCAGCAATCAAACAAAACCCACAAAAAACAACAAAAAATCTTCAAAAAAGCAAACAAACCAAAATCAACCCTGCTGTCTTAAGAAGTGAAAGTTAACCAATTTCTTTTTTTTTGTTTTGTTTGTCTTTTTGAGACAGGGTCTTCCTGTAGCCCCAGCTGTCCTGGAACTCACTATGTGGACCAGGCTGGCCTTGAACTCACAGAGATCCACCTGCCTCTGCCTCCCGAGTGCTGGGATTAAAGCCATGCTCCATCACACCCGGCCAGATTCCTTTTCTAATTGGGAAAAGTAGGGACAGAAAAGGCCACCAAAGCAGACTCAGGAGCATTTCCCAATCTGGGATGTCTGTTCCCTCAGCAGAGCAGCCAACAAGCAAGCTGTGGTTGGAAGGCAGAGCTTTAGTCCGGGAGAACTTCTAGGAAAATGAGAGGGAAAAAAAGCTTGAGGGGCTGGAGAGATGGCTCAGTGGTTAAGAGCACTGACTGCTCTTGCAGAGGACTCTGGTTCTATTCCCAGCATCCACATGGCGGCTAAGAGCCACCCTTAACTCCAGTTCTAGGGTAATCCGAAGCCCTCTTCCGACCTCCGAGGCATTTTACAACACAGGTGCACTCACATACATGCAGGCAACACACTCATACACATAAAATAAAAATAATAAATAAATAATTTTTTAAAAGCATGAAAAACAAGAGCCCATTTTCAAAATTAGAACCTGGAACTCACTATGTAGACCAAGCTGGCCTCAAACTCAGAGAGATCCACCTGTCTCTGCCTCCCAAGAGCAGGGTTTAAAGGAGTGCACCACCACACGCAGCAATCCAACATATTTAAAATTATTCCAGTAGATTGATTCCAACATATCCAAACACGATAATTTTCCATAATTATCCCTGAAGACGGCAATCACTTTGCAGATGGACACGATACCTGACCATACTTTGAATGTATGAAGACCTGGAAGCCCCTAAGCCCCAGAACCTCTCTTTGCTGGGCGATCACCAGGCTGCCTTCTATCCAAGTGAGGTCCAGTGAGCTGGACAGGGTGGTTAGGAGAGTTAGGGGATGACTGAGCCTGGTTTCCCATTTGAGCTTTTGAGCCCTGTTTGGGTCCTACATGCTCTTACATCCTTTCACTCTTTCCTTCATTTATTATCCAGCCAATTTCTAAACTACAAAGCACACACAGTGAATCTAAAAGATCGCTGCCTAAGTTTCAAAAACTCTAGCAACAAAGTGGCATCAGAAGGAGTCTGGGGCTGTCACTCAGCACTGGTCTGTGCTTAGCATGCAGGAGACTGGGTTTGCTACCCAGCACCCCTCCTCCCAAGAGTAGTATTGATATCAGAAGTAAAGGTGGTAGTTTTTTTTTTTTCAAATATAGCCCTGGGTGACATAAAAATGATTCTCAGGTATGTAAGCAATTAATAAGGAGACATGACCCTCAGATACAGAAGGAAAGTCCACTAGAAATGAAGGAAATATATCAGAACTTAACTTTGGCAGAAACTAGGGACTGTTGCAGAGATGGCCTTTGCAGAAGCTCCATGGTCCCACAGTCCCATCACCCTACAGTCATCGAGGGAAGAGGTAGAGACAGTGCTCTCCTACTTTGGTTAAATGAGTAGGAGTCCCCCACCCCCACCCCAAGGAGTTCTTCTGTAATTTGTGGTCTTTTTGAGACAGGGTCTTCCTGTAGCTCCAGCTGACCTGGAACTTGCCATATAGATCAGTCTATCCTCATCTGACAGAGATCCGCCTGCTTTTGCCTCCCAAGTGCTGGGACTAAAGACTATGCTACCATGCTAGGCTTCCTCTGTGATTCTAAACAGCTTGGGAAGGAAGACAGGACAAAGGGTGAGGTCTCATTAACAGATGAGAATCTTTAATTCCAAGGGAGAGGTGACCTGTACTCAGGGGAAGGACGTTGCTGCTCTAGGCTATGTGATTCTAAGCAATAAATCCCCTCAAGCAAGAAAAGATAAACTGACTGTGTAGCCAGTGACCCTTAGGGGTAGGGGACCTGCGGCAGCCCCTCTTTCAGTCAGGGAAGGAAGAAGGGCGTGGCTTCCTTGATGGCTCTGGGCTGAGTCCCTCCTCCCCAATCCCCCATTGGGTCAGTGGCTCCTGAAGCTCTGCCAGTGAGGGACAAATGAGCTGGGCTGTTGATTTGTCCCTCTTGGCCTTTCAGAATTTGCCCACATAAATACTCAGAAAGACTGCCCTCTTCTCACTTCTCTGAACTTGGCCCTGAGCTGAACTGGGTCCCCTGGATTGGGCAGAGCCATGGGGGACTTGTTTATGCTGTGGGTGACTGTGGGCATGTGCTATGCCACCTTCAGTGCCTCTGCCTGGTAAGTTCTTTCTCCCAGTCCTCCTTCCCCACCAAGGAGGCGCATTACTTCATCCCGTTCACTTCTCATTTTCTTTTTGGTAGGTCAGTGAACAATTTCCTGATAACAGGTCCCAAGGTAAGATGGACTTTGATTTACTCCTATTTGAATGCTTATTCTGGGGAAAGAAAAAGGGGCAGGGGAGATAGTGCCAGACTCTCTGAAATCCAGGGCTGTTTATTTTTTATTGTTGTTTTGTTTTGTGGTGCTGGGGATTAAACCTGGGTCCTAGTATATGCTAGGCTGGGCAGTATCCCTTGTTTCCCAAGACTGCTTCTTTCGGGAAGCTATCCTGTTTGCATTGTTTCATGGCCTGTGTCAGCGGAAGCTCACAGCTCTTTTCTCCTGGCCAGGCCTATCTGACCTATGCTACCAGTGCAGCCTTGGGCGCTCAGAGTGGCATCGAAGAATGTAAGTTCCAGTTTGTGTGGGAACGCTGGAACTGTCCTGAAAATGCCCTCCAACTCTCCACCCATAACAGACTGAGAGGTGGTAAGTTTTCATGGGGCTCCACCTGCACAGGAGCATCTGTCATGGCGGGCTTGTATATGTGTATATGTGGGGGGGGGGGGCACATGCCACAGCATGTATGTGGAGGTCAGAGGATAACTTGGAAGTTGGCTCTCTCCTCTCACCATGGAGTCCCAGGGATTGAACTGAGATCATCAGGTTTGCAGGCAAGAGCCCTTACCTGCTGAACCATCTCGAAGGCTCTAGGAGAGTATTCTAAGGGTTGAATGAAATGAGCAGAGGTGTGTTTAATGGGTGCCTGTACTGGTGTGCTTGTACATACCTTGCTCTGATTTGCATGAGATAAAAATGGAGAAAGGGATCCATGTTTGCAGCCCTTGAAGGAGTATTACACCTGCCCAATTATAAAATCCTAGCAACAGTAACGTTTCAAGATCAGAATGGGTTTGCCTCAGATGAGCTCTGTGTGTGTGTATGTGTGTTCACATGTGTGCATGTTTGTAACTATATGCAGTAGTTTGCCTAGAAAAACACTTTGTAGAAACAAGAGTTGCCTGAGAAGAATGGGAGAAATAGTAAAGATGGGTCAGAAAGTTTCTTCTCAGGGAGTGCACAGATAGAAGGGGGATGTAGAAATGAAGTGTGATGGCTGTGAACTGTTCAGTGTGATGAAACCTTAGGGGACTGTGGAGATGACGCTGGACAAAATGCTGTGCAAGCATCAGGACCTACCTGGTTTGTTTTTAAAGCCAGCGGTAGTGGCACCTGTAATTCTAGCACTGGGAATCAGAGACAGGAAAACTCCAGGGGTTCAGTGGCCAGTCAATCTAGTCAATTGGTGGTGAGCTCCAGATTCAGTGAGAACCCTGTCAAAAAATAAGGTTAGGGCCAGTGAAAAGGCTCAGCAGGTAAAGGCACTTATAAGCCTGATGACTTGAGTTCAATCCCCAAACCCATGTAAAGGTGGAAAGACAGAATTGACTGCACAAAGTTGTCCTCTGACTTTTACATGCACGAAGTGGTGTGCACTTCCAAACACACAAACACACAGTAATAATAAATAAAAATTTTTTTTAAATAGGGTCAAGAGCAATAGAGGAAGACACTTGATGTCGACCTCTGTCCTCCACACAAGCACACATGGATGCATGCATCTACACGTACATGTGCATACATATGTATATAACACACACACACACACACACACACACACACACACACACACACGATATGACCTCCCTGCTCTGGTCAGAGGAATAAAAGATAAAAGGTCTTTCTTTTCTTCCTAAACGGACCTGTGACTGAGTCTCACTGCCTCTAGCAGCAAAGACTTGGAGGTCAGAAGTGGACTTCAAGAGAGCAGGATCCTAATCTAATATCACAACTGGCCAGTAGCTTTGGTTTTATCATTTTCCTGGGTTCACTTTCTCCATCTGTATTAAGGGGATGTCCGTTTCTACCTGGACAAAGTGAGGAGGTTGGAAAAACAACATGCACTGTTCTCCTGAGGGGAAGAACATCCTTTTAAACACAAGGAGGTGGGGGCAGGACAAGACAGCATTGTTTTCCAAGGCCTCTGCTGCTTTGACTCATAAGATCCACGTTTCTAGTCAGTCCCTTCTTTCTCTCCAAAGCCACGAGAGAGACTGCCTTCATTCATGCCATCAGCTCTGCTGGAGTCATGCACGCCATCACCAAGAACTGCAGCATGGGTGACTTTGAAAACTGTGGCTGTGATGAGTCAAAAAAGGGAAAAACAGGTAATTTGGGTTTCATGGAGGTCGGAAGAGGTGGGAGTTCTGTTCTGCAGAACTGAGCAGACTAAGTCTTCTAGGGACACAGCTCTTGACTTGAACCCCTAGACTCTAACAGCCCACCCCTTCACTCATGGGAGCTCCTGGAATAATGAGAGTTGAACTTATGTCCATGAGACCAGGGATTTAGCAAGGGTCTCTAAAACCAATAGGGAAACTGGGAACAAAAAGACCAAGCGTGTTTACAGCCTGCCCTGGTATTACAATGGCTTGTCTACAGCCCAGGGCTTCCCAACTCTTTCCAGAGCCTCTAACAGACTCAGATTTGTCACTGAAGAGAGAGGAGTTGCCGCTAGCAATAATGGTGCAATAAACCTTTGAGATCATTTAGACCAGTGCATATACCTATGTTTCCTGTAGGTATAAGAGGACTTATTGCCTAGAGCTGGGACATCCCTCAAGTGGGCTTTGGGAACAGAACCCTACCCACTCACTCCCCCAGATACCTCCATTTCCCTGTCTTCACCTTCAGTATATATAGCTTATACCCTCCTAGGGCTCTTGGGGATGGTGATTGTCAACTGAAAAGAACGTGACTCTTCTCCTGAGATCTAGCAGAGAGTTGTATGCAGAATTTATTCTTTCCTTATGTATAGGAGGCCGTGGCTGGATCTGGGGAGGCTGCAGCGACAATGTGGAATTTGGGGAAAGGATCTCCAAACTCTTTGTGGACAGTTTGGAGAAGGGGAAGGATGCCAGAGCCCTGATGAATCTTCACAACAACAGGGTCGGCAGGCTGGTGGGTATAGGAGTCGGCCAGGGTCAGCATGAGCTTCACATCTGCACAGCACCCCACAGTTACCAAGAGCTGTCTCATCCATGTTTCATCCTCAAAACCATTCAGCAAGAACTGAGACAACTATCTCTGTTAAGTCTGAGATAAGTGACTTGTCCACGGCAATACAGCTAAAAAGTCTCCAAGCCAGGCAATAGTCTAACCCTCTTATCACAACCATACGCTTTGGCCTTCTCCACAGGCCAGATTTTCTGAGAACGCTGAATAATATAGAACCAAGACTAAATGTTTGTATGTGTGTGTGTTGAGACAGGGTCTTGCTACACAGCCCTGCATTGCCTGGTACTCACTACGTAGCCCAGGCAGGCCTTAAACTCATGGCAATCCTGCCTCAGCGTCCCAAGTACTAGGATAACGGGCATGAGTCACCATGCCCCACAAAATTTTAATCACTTTAACTGAATGGTAGACATTAATAGGGGTGTATTGTCCTAAAGTCTGGAATGCTAGAAATTGAGATTAGGGAATCTATTCTTCCCCAAGACTTCTATTGGGATAATATTCTGAACTCAAACCTGGAAGCAAGTTGAACTTAAAGCAAAAATTATTCACAGTTTCCTGTGAGTCTCTCCATGTTGTCCAGGTCACCTGAGGGAAGGAAAAGGGGTTTTCTAGGCAACAACAGGCATTGCCTTGGGGATGAATGGGTTCAAGAGCTTCCTTCCCTCTGAAAAACCCAAACTACCACAATTGCTCTAGCTCCCAGCTTCAAGACAGAAAGTGTCAGTGATCAGAATTTCTTTTATAACATTCAAAGTACTTCTTCGACTATTATTTTTATTTATTGATTCTATTTATTCTATTTATTTATTGTGGTGCTGGTACATACACTAGGCAAGTGCTCTACCTTTGAGCGATATCACCAGTCCCTATTTTATCCAATACTCATTCCATTGGGTCTGAGAAGCACACATAACCAGTGATGGAGCTGGGCTGGAAGCCTAGGTTTCTGACTCAGTTTCTCTCTCAGCACTTGTCCAGCTGTCTATCAATCAGTGAGGGTGAGTGAAAATCTCTAGTACTAGTAGTGCCTTAGTCTCTGAACATTCTCCTTGGGAATGTCTAGGTATGGCCTATGAATACTTTTTGAGTCTTCTAATAATCCTGATGCTTCTCCAAACACAGTTCTAGAATATTCCATTTAATGGGACAGGAGAGATAACTCAGGGTTAAGAACACTGGTTGTTCTTGCAGAAGACCCAGGTTCAAATCCCAGCACCCACATGGCAGCTAACGACGGTCCGTAACTCCAGTTCCAGGGGATCTGATGGCTTCTTCTGTCCTCCACAGGCATTGCATGACACGGGTGCCCTTACCTACATGCTGGCAATACACTTATTCACATAAAAAATAAAAAATAATAAAAGAATATTCCATTTAATTGCTAGCCATTGGCCTTCCCTACCAAGAGCTATTATTATTTTTGTGTTTTCTGTCTCTGAAGGCAGCGAGAGCCACCATGAAAAGGACCTGCAAATGTCACGGCCTGTCAGGGAGCTGCAGCATCCAGACATGCTGGCTGCAACTGGCTAGCATTCGGGAGATAGGAGACTACCTAAAGGCCAAGTATGACTGGGCACTGAAAATTGAGATGGATAAGCATCAGCTCAGGGCTGGCAACAGTGCTGAGGGCCACTGGGATCCCATGGAGACCTTCTTTCCTGGTGCAGAGGCCGAGTTGATCTTCTTAGAGGAATCTCCTGACTACTGTACACGCAACACCAGCCTGGGCATCTATGGCACCGAGGGTCGCGAATGCCTGCAGAGAAGCCACAACGCTTCCAGGTGGGAACAACACAACTGTGGGCGCTTATGCACTGAGTGTGGTCTGCAGGTGGAAGAGAGGAGAACTGAGGCCACAAGCAGCTGTAACTGCAAGTTCCAGTGGTGCTGCACAGTCAAGTGTGATCAGTGTAGGCACGTGGTGAACAAGTACTACTGCAGAAGGTATCTAGGCAGAGCCAGGACCCGGGGCAAGAGTAAGGGCAAGGGCAGTGCCTGATAACACCCCACTGCTGCTCAGTTGTGTGACCGTCGGGGGACACTGCTTCTAGCTTAAATGGTGTAGACTGGAAAATCACAGGCTTGGTCTATAGTTTTTATCTGCCAGAGATGGAAGATCATAAAACATATTCTTGGCAGAGCTGAAATGGGAACCTGGCCCTCCTGGCTTGCAGACCCAGTCTTCTCACAAGTTACTCTTGGTCATCCTACCTGTACTTATGCAGCTTGTTAAAGGAGGATGGTTTGGGGTGCACATCCAGAGGAACCTGAAAAGCATTTGTTACATTAAGTTTCAGACTCTGTCCAGGCCAGCTGTGGTGCTGAGAGTCAGGGAGACTAGAATCAAAGAATTCCCTGAAAAAGCAATCTTAGGCAGAATGAGGCAGAAACCACCTTCTCCTATTGGGAGGTTTTTAGAGGGCTGAGTTTTCATTTCCCCATGAACTTTGGATAAGTTTCCCCTACCCAGGCCTTGGGGAACCAGGACCCAGCGTGACAGGAAATTTCCATGAACCATCTCTGGAGCCAAGAAGAGGGAATGCTGACAATAAGTGGACAGGTAATCAGGACTTACCAGACAAGACCCTAGAATGATTTTATCCCAGAGAGCTACAGAACATCTCTGCTTTGTTATTTTCCCAAATTGGGAGCTAATTTCATTTGCAATAAATGCTTCTAGGATATATTCAGCTGGGACTTTTTTTTTTCTTCTTTTGGATACTGGGTCTCTTGTAGCCCAAGCTGGCCTTGCTATGTAGCCAAGGATGACCTTGAATTCTTGATCCTTTGGTCTCCACCTTCTGAGTTCTGGGATTATCACCACCATACCTGGTTTATATGATGCTAGGATAGAACCTAGGACTTCATATATGTTATAGGCAGGCGCTCTCCCAACTGATCCACAGCCCTAGCTCCCCAGCTGAAACCTTTTATTACTCCCTCTGGAAAGCTGAGGACCACCAGGCTACACAGAAAACTAGAAACACTCCATTGATTTCAATACTTGACAGACAGAAATATCAAGGCCCCCATGTGGTGGTGCATGCCTGTAATCTCGGCACTGGAGGAGGCTGAGGCAGGTGGATAAGAGTTTGGCTATACAGGGAGTTCAAGGCCCACCTAAGCTACATAAAACCCTTTCTCAAAAACTAAAAATGTATGTAGACCAGGCTGCTCTTGACTCACAAAATTGTGCTTCAGGCTTTCATGTGCTAGGATTAAAGATGTGTAACACCATGCTTGGCCTTACATATAAATATTTTTTTAAAAAGAAAAATGAAGGAAATAAACTAACAGGAAAACAATACCTTCAGATTTACATATTATTTAAGTGCAACTTGGGAACCAGGAAAGCCCTTTGAACTTGGACCTTATTCAAAGTGTGTTTGCTCTCTTAACTTGGACTTCCTATGGTGTCTGTACACCAAGACCAGAGCCCCAGGGTAAGAGTCTAGGAAAGTTGTGGATTCTACCCGGCTCATTTACACTTCTACATCTTCCTATGGTAATCTCTGGAGGAGGGGTAGTATTTCACAAAGAGCCCTGGGGGCTCAGCCATAACGTTCTTAACTCTGATTCCTAACTCTGAATTTCGAAGCTTTGGGAGACTTCCCGGTGACAACCCCTGCAGGGAGGTTTAACAAACAAGTCAAGTGGCCCATCACCTGGAGTAAGGAACATTCTCAGATTTTTGTTTCAAATTAGAAAACAAATGAGATGTTTATTATGGTTTTCTGCTAGCCTACAGTAAACAAATATTTTGATTATCAGAACAAATTAAGATGTGTTATTTTAAATGCCTGAAGGGAATAATCAGTTCATATTTTGTTTGGTTGTGTTTATTCTATTTTTAATTATATGTATGCATGGGGACAGTATGTCCAGGTGAGTGTGGCGCCCACAGAGGCCAGAAGGTCAGATTCTCCGTGAAGCTGGAGTTATAGACTATTGTGAGCCACCCTACCTTTGTGCTGGGAACCTGACTCAGGTTTTCTGCAGGAACAGAACTCACTCTTAACTGCTAAGCCATCTCTCTATCCCAAATCAGTTCACTTTAAAATGTATTTTCAGTTTCAGATTTTAGTAATAAGGAAACTGAAAAGTTCATTAAGGAAGCTGATCTCTCAAGAGAAACCATGAGCAGGTATCTTAAAAGTCCATTCTGATCGTCTCTGTTACTTCCAGTTTTAAAACTACCACATACATCACCAACCAGATACAATGGGAAATCCATAGAAACACTTTTCTCCATGTCCTACCTTCAAAGCAAGGGGTTCAAAATAATAGTAACAACAGAGAAAGACAGCATCTATAGTATGGGATTGTGGGGGTAGAGGAAGGGGAATGGAAGAGTACCCAAAGGGTAAAAATTCTGAAGTAATGGATAGTCAAGGAAAAGATTATTTCTCTGGGGCTAAGAGCAAAAATAAAAGCACACATAAAATGACATAGCCTGGAGTTTAAACCCTCAATAAATAGGAATATCAAAGTAGCAAGCCTGGAACTCGAATTGATACTATGCTAGGGAAATAAACAAGCTATGCTTTCTCTCTGCATCCCTAACAGATTCTCCATCCAAAGAACCCAAGGCACCTGATGCCTTGACATTTTCCCCCAGGGCTGTATCAATGCACCCAAGTAATCTTGGGAGGGAGGTATTGAGAAACAAAACCATCCCCAAAGTCAAATAATCACTCCAGGAGGACAAGCCTTGTGGTCATTCTGGGGTTTTGTAAAGTTTTCACTAAGAAAATCCAGAGAAAAAGGAATTCTGTGACAAGTTTGCCAAACACCCCCGCCCCCCGCTCACAATCTACTAGTCTTCTTCAAACCTCTCCCCTATTCATCCATCTTGCCTCTAAAGCCATCAATCATTACACTAACCAACCTTCCCGCATGGACTCTGGGCCTGAAGTTAAAGGAATTTAGTTTTCTCCACATCCATCACCTTCCCAGTCAAGAATCCGGTTCCAGCCTCATTCAAATTCATCAGTTACAACCCTAGCCCCTTCCCTTTTGGTTCATCCTTAACAAGCTGGCTATCATTAAGGTGACAGAACAATAAAACTCCCACGTTCAATAGGCTCAGGGCCCAAGACAGGCAGTTGGATCCACAGTTTGTTTGATGGTGGGTCTTGAAAACCTGCTAAAAGGGAGATGGATTCAATGAAGGAAACTTGCTTAAGACAGTATTTCAGGAAGTCCAGACATCAGATCACTTTGCCTGGAAAATGGGACTCCTGTATTTTCTGTGTAGAACTACAGAAAACAGACTGTGCTTGCCAGGCCCCTGCAAAGTTCTTTTCCCTTGCCTTATTCTTTCCCTCCTTCTTATTTGACCTTGATGTGGGCAAAATTGGGGACTCCTAAAGAAAACGCTGACGTCTGCTCCTGGAGTCTGTAATGGTCCACCACTGATCCATCCACAGCTTGCTTTGGTGATCATAAACAGTAAGGGGAACTACAGTAGAAAGGGAGTAACTGAGCACCTACTACGTGCTAGGTACTTAATAGATACCATCTCCTTCAATCTTCAGAACATCCAGAGTTAAAATTCCTGGAGACTTGATGACATTCAGAAGTAGAGCAAGCACATGCCTTAGAAAGCACAAGGCCCTAGGCTTGATTCCTAGACCACCCCCCAAAACACCCCCAAAGTTTAAATGTTACAATCATTCCCCTCTTACAGTGGAGGAAACCAACTTGGAGAGGTAAGCACCCCAACCTAAAATACACAAGAGAAGTGGATTTGAATTCAGACCTGCCACCTTATAAATTCAAATTCTTCTCTTTACAACCACTTCCACAGTGGGAGCCCAGGATCTCTGGCATCGTGATGGTTTTGTGGAATGAGGACCATTCATATGCAGTAAAAGGTGTCTTCTTCCTCCCTCCTCAGCAAGTGAGAGAGTCATATTTCCCAGCCCTCCTCCAGAATGAAGAACCCAACTTTTGATTTGCAAAGGCCTTCTTTGGAATGATAAAGCAGACAGCTTGGCTCCTGCTGACTTGGGAGGGCAGAATTCTAGTTCTCCCAGGGGAACTCAAGGCAAAAAGGCTAACCATTATGGTCCACATTGGAGGTCAAAGTTTCAAGAGGAGATGTCAAAGGAGGGGTGTTTATTTTAGAGGACAGAGGAAGCAAAACAAGCTCCAGAGGAAAATAGGGAAAATCTAGGCTCCAAAACACAGCCTGTAATCCTCATGGATGACAAAAGACCTAGGTTGAGAGAAAATGAAGTAAGAGCAAGGACCAGTTCAAAGTCTTCTAGAGAAGGTTTCTACCTCTGGGTAGAAATAGAACTCTAAACAACCTAGTCTTAATGCCATCCCTACCACAGGAGGAAAGGTCCTGCATAGCAGAAGAAAGGAGAGTAGACTCCAGGGCCCTGAGTAGCCCCAAAGGCTGGTGCTCGGCTCACCCAGCCAGGCTGCCCTTCTCAAGGTGAGACAACAGGAAAGGGATGTGCGACACCCCCGGGACGCACTGAAGAAGTTAGGCCAAGGATCAGTGAATCTGTGGACTATACTTGGTCCGAGAGAGATTTAGGAAGATGATGGTTTGGGGAGTGAGGATGTGAACAGGAAGTGGGTATGGTGGGGAAAGTTCTTGTGGTCGGTTCACCAGGTGTCTAATTACTATCTAAGGGCAGAAACTGTGATGAAGAAATAGACAACAAAAGGGAAAGATTATTTTCCTGAGCCTCAGAGAATTTTTTTTTTTGGGGGGGGGTGTCTTTTTGGAGACAGGGTCTCCCTGTAGCCCCAGCTGGCCTGGAACTCCCAGGCCTTGAACTCACAGAGATCTGCCTGCCTCTGCCTCCTGAGTGCTGGGATCAAAGGCATGCACTACCATGCCTGGCCAAAGAAATTTTTTTTTTAAGATTTATTTTTGTATGTATGGGTGTTTTGTCTATATATATGCCTGTATACCATGTGTGTGTCTGGTACCTTTTGGAGGCCAGAAGAGGGCATTAGACCCTCTGTAACTAGGGTTACAGAAGGTTGTAAACAGCCACATGGGTGCTGAGAACCAAACTGGGTCTTCTGCAAAAGCCAGCAAGTGCTCTTAACCACTGAGCCATCTCTCCAGCTCTCCAAGGAAAATTTTAAACCATAATTATAGGACACTGAGGTTAAACCCTCAGTAAATAAGGATGTTAAAGCATCCATTCCCAGCTGGGTATTGTATCACACACCTGTAATACCAGTACTTGGGAGGTAGAGGCAAGATATCAAGAGTTCAAGGTCAGCCTCAGCTTCAAATTGAGTTAAGGCCAGACTGGGCTACTTGAGACCCTGTCTCAAAAAATCAACCAAACAACCAAAACCAAAGTATCCATTCCCTGGGCCCCCTCAGACTTTCAGGTAGCTGTGTAGACCTGTGATGAGAAGGGATAATCCTGAGAGGGTTCCCTGGTATTTTTTCACCAGGAGCTTATTGCAGTCTAGAAGAAATTTATCAATTTAGCTTCTTAAGAGGCCAGCTCCTAGCCATGTATGGTAGCACACACATGTAATCCCAGCATTTGGGAGGTGGAGGCAGGAGGATGAGAAGTTCAAGGCCATCCCCAGCTAC